GTGTCCGCACGAGGCGCGGGGCTCTGTGGAGGAGCCGCAGGCGCTGGCCCCCACTTGTACCGTCTCCAGCTCCTCAGGCCCGGCCCGAACCGCTCCGGCTCCCGCCCCGGAGGTCGGTCTGTCTGTTTGGGAAAAGGCCCGGCCGGCTTTTCCCAGCCTAAACGTGGGTTTTCAACCCGACATCCAAAACCAGCCGGAGGCGGGGTGGAGGTGGCGGTTGCCCTCGGCGGGGGTTCAAGAAGGGTGATGCCGGAGCCGTAGCTGCCCGAGCTCGGCTCCTAGCGAGCCGGCGTCCCGCGGCCGCGGCAGCAGCAGGAGCAGGAGCAGGAGCAGAGGTGGGGTTGTGCAGGGCGGCTTCAGCAGTCGTCCTTCCGGCCCGTTAATCACCGCCGCGTGGCCTGGTCTCCCAGCAGCGCACGCACGGAACCACAGGCTTTTCCTCCACGAGAACACCTGGACTATCACGACGACAATGTGAACACACTGCCAGACTGACACTTGTCAGTACACGGGGGAGAGTCGAGGAGCAGAGGGAAATGGTTCGGGGGCTGGGGGAACTGGGCTGATTGAGCCTGGAGAAGAGAAGATGGAGGCGGGGATTGAACAGCAGCCGTCACCTCCCTGCAGGGGGTGCAAAGAGGATGGAGCTGGGCTGGTCTCAGTGGGGGCAGACGGCAGAAGGAGCAATGGGCTCAAGCTGCAGCAAGGGGAGCTTAGGTTGGATACTGGGAAAAACTCTCTCAGTAGGAGAACAGTAAAGCACTGGAAGGGGTTACCCAGAGAGGTGGTGGAGTCTCCCTCCTTGGAGGTGTTTAAGACCCGGATAGACAAAGCCGTGCCTGGGATGATGTAGTGGGGGCTTTGGAGCAGGGGGTTGCACTAGATGTGACCTCCTGAGCTCCCTTCCACCTTCATTGTCTGTGACTGTGTGAATATGGAGCGCTTGGTGCAGGTGGAAAGCAGGGGGAGGTGAAACAAACACCAAGAAGGGAGAGAGCAAGTTTCTGGTGTTCACAAAGGGACCTAATTAGGCTAAAGGGAAGATCATAAGAGAAGGGAAATTTGTGCCAGAGTCTCAGTGGGGAAAATCTGTTGAACAGAAGTGTAAGCTCTCAAGGAAAGTAGCACTGACTGGGACCCTTAAATGGGACAAAGCATTACAAACCACACTGCTATACGAGAACCATCTTGACTTGGGTGGGAGACAGTGTCCAGGAGCTATTTCTCGTTCCTCATTTGTAAGATAACACATAGGTGTAAGGGGAAAGAAGAGCAGTCGCCATTGGGATAGGCCACCTTCCAGCCTCCACTGCCTTTGGTTCTTAAATTGTATTCTGGTTGCTTTTCCGCACAGCAATGATGAGCTGGGGATCCACAGATGTCTACCTGAATGAGATCGAGAGCAGCTTGGAGAGCATTTTTTACAGCAAGGAAGAGCAGGAGCATGAAATGTGGAGGACGTACATGGAGAGGAGGAGCGTCGTGCGGCAGTTCCTGCAGGCCGACCTGAGCCTCCCCCTGCTGAAACGGCACCGCAAGAGAATCGAGCTCCTGAAGAAGTGCTCCTACTACATCGAGATCCTGCCCAAGCACCTGGCGCTGGGGGACCAGAACTACCGGATGCTGCCCACCACC